GTCTGTGCCTTTTGTATGTTTGCTCTGCACACACAAAATCCATCATTGCCATTTGACAGACTGAGCGGAAAAAACAAACAGACTAATAAACCAAGTGAGGGGCCACGAGGAGGAGAATATCTGATAGGATATTTAATTTTCTTTTGTAGCTGTATTATGTAAGTAATTATTGGGCTTATTGGTCCCGCATTAGGAAAATAACCAGCCTGCATCAAAGCTTTCCTTTGATTTTCATATAATATTATGTGTTATAATATCGAAGATTATAATATTGTGGAGTGTTTGCGCAGGAAAGTATCAAAAGAATTGTGACACTTTCTCTCCATGAACTGAAAGGACTTGCTGTATACAATCAAAATCAGCATTGTAGAGGCTTGGCCACCTCCAACATGTTCCTGGAAAAGAGGCAAAAAGATGCTCACGACATCCTGTTTCACAAAAGGTTTGAACATTTTAAAGGAGAGCAATTTTGACAGCTGAGGTGTCCGTGGGGAAAAATAAACAAGACGACAGAAACTGGTTTTATAAAGCCAGTATTAATTAATCCGTTCAAAATGCCTGATCCTCCTGTTTGGTTCAGAACATGACCTCTCACATGCATTCTTCCCCGCATACTTTTCCTCTGTTTGCATTTGTCACAGTTTACCGCTCTTCCTCTCCTGCATATAGATGCCCACAAAGGATGCAATTTGCTGTAGTTGGCCAAAGATTTGCATCACGGTCATGAGCTTGGTGCAGCTTTTCTCCTCCTGTACCTGACAACCCCATCTGATCCATCCGTATATGTGAAGGCCAGTGGTTCAGATTTGTCTTCACAAGCCTCCATTAACATCCAACTTGGCAGTGGGAATCACACGTCTGCCATTCAGCTTATTCATCTATGTCCTCTGTAGTTATTAGAATGACAAAGCACACATAGCTGCATTGCTCTGTGAAAAGTGGTTATGGCTATCATACTGTGACCATATGCAGAAGTTGCTATGACATGATGAATTAATTCAGCACTCCACGCATGCTTTGAAATTTCATAAACAGATTATGTCACGGACAATCTGTCTTTTGAAATGAACAAAAACTAAACAAAACTCATATTCATAATGGCTGCACATCCAAGCAGCGGGATTTTTGTTTACAGAGATCATCTTGTAGCTGAAAGGCCTCAAACTTGATCCCAGCAAACAGCTCTGTGTCCTGCCAAAGTGCTTCATTAATAAAAAAGATCTTTATCTCCCCCACATCGACCTAACAGCTGTAGTTAGAGTGGAGTTTAGGAAAAACAAACATTAGATTATATCATAAAAACGTTGATAAATCCATTCAGCCACCAGTTCTCCACTTTTACATTGAAAAACTTTAAAAGAGAGTTTTGAAATGTTTTGTTGCTCCTCTACAGAACGAAGCCTGAAAACGGTGGGTTCACTTTACTTACCTGTAGTGGTTTCTGTTCGCACCTCAATATAATGGAGGTGAATGGAATTTCACTTGTAATGCTCACAGATTTAGATTTAAAAAAAATTCAACATCAATGAGTCACAACTCAGTGTTCAGTTGGACTACTTTACGGGGCCCATTAGAGCTCAACACACTGCAAATAGACAAAACACAAACGACTTCATCAATCTTACAAAAACATGCGCTGAAAATACTCACAACACTACAGATACACAGGTGTCACCTGGTAGAGCGCGTACTCCCCAACCCGTCACCCTCTGCTGCAAGTCATCATTTGTTTTAATACTTTATTGTGTCAGTAAATGTCAATGAAACATTACACACGTCTTATTATTTAAACATTTTGACACTAACTTTTTTAACATTACAACTGTTTTTTTCCCCTCACCCCAACCCAGAACACAGTGCATTCAAAAAGCAATAGAGTGAGCGACAGTATACTGTAGTTGTTACTGATCATGTTTTCGTTTTTATTTAGTCGCAAATTGGACACTTGTGTTGTGTTGTGAGTATTTGCAGCGCATGTGTTGTCAAATTAATGAAGATGTTTCCTGAAGGTGCAGTGTGTTGAGCTCTCAATCCACAGCATGTTCTGTAGATTGGCCAGACCCACAGGAAAACTGATTCTGGAAAGAGATGTCCCTGTTGATCTTTTTCTTTTTGATTTTCATTGTAACAGACTGGAGGCTGAGATGAAGGATAGGTGGAAGGGATAGTTGCAACTTATATAAATAAAACTGACGGTATCTCTATACTGTGCCTTTTGAGGTAAGTGAGAAAATATATGTGTAAAGGGTAATACAATAAGTGCTTCTCTATTGTTGTATCAATACTTTTACTAAAATAAAAGATGTTTCTCCTCTGTGGCTCTGTATTACCACATTAACTTTATGCCCAAAATAGATGTGGAATGTGTATCTTGAATGGTCAGTGACAGGTTTGCAAAAGTGATTCATGCTTGTAGCATCTCATGGAAAAGAGCTCTAAGAATAATGGCAGTAATGGGGCCTTTGATAGAAATAAAACAGCACCTTATTGGCAAAGTAATCTCCCACTGTATCTTTCTCCTAGTTATTACAGATTCACAAGATGAGTCCCAAATTCTTCATTTGTCTCTGTTACTCATGGGTCAGCTGACAGTTAATGTTTCTTTCAGATGTTCCTTCACTTTCAGAGCCAACTTTGTTAGACCAGGTGTTGTTCTGTGCTCGGTGCAGTTTTCAACCTCAGGGATGGCCTAATTCAGGCTGTCCCACAGGAAGACAAATGGCTCTGTTGGACCTTTTGTCCCTCTGAGTGAACATTCAGTTAAGCCTCATCTCTCTCTGTTGAGGCTGATGTTTGCAAACTCTGTCAGGTGGTGATGAAGCCAAACACTTTGGACTGAAAACGGACCTTTATTGAGTTACTGTTTTTGGACTGGGTTGAGTGTATTCCATCCCTCTCTTCTCCAGGCAGAGGACAGTCTCTGATTGACCACGGGGCTGATTCATATAACGTTAATGCGATGTTTTCTTTGTAATTGTCAACACCTCACTTCGAATAAAGACGTCTCTGAGAAGAGTCACTTAAAGGACTTTGTAGAGGAGACGCTCAGAGGAAAACAGCTGTCACTTTTATTTCTGGCATAAAAATAAGCCCCAACATGTGGGAGAATGTCCAGCCTGAAATCTCAGAGGAAAAGGTTGTTGTAGAGTGAGATATTTTAAGTCTCCACATTCTTTTTCAGCCTCAGTGCTGTACTGATGTTCTACCTGATGATAGATATACGTAAAATGATTTGGGTTGATGTTTTTCCAAATGAAATATTTCATACAGAGTGTCTGTTTCTACAAGGTTGTGTTTTCATAACTTCCAAACTCATTCCAAATGTGAGCAAACCATTAATTATCTCTCTGTCACCCATTCATGGTCATTTCATTGTCCCTGCTAAAAACCTTCTCCCCCTTCGTTCTTCTCCTGCTCATCAGCTGTCATATCTAGCTGTTAAACGAACAATGTGGATTGTGGATTAGCTTTGCTGCTTTACCGCTTTGTGACAAAACGTCCTCTAAGACCAGAGGAGCCAGAATAATCATATTAGAGTGATTCTCAGGGAGCTTATGGCCCCACCTCCTCAGTAGCAGGATAAAATGGTTTGACTAGGGAAGACATCTGATGTGAACCTGGCAGTGGCGCTCTAGGAAACAGCCAGGTTTTCTGACATCATGGGACAACACAGTCTCTGCCAGGGATCAATGGCTTTGGGCTAGACAGACAGAGGATGCCCCATGGGTCTGTTTGTGTGGGTCTGCTGTGTTTGTGTGCTGCTCGGGGGGGCCACTGAATGGGACTGATACTTGTAAAAATGTCAGTGAACTACAGTTTCCTTGTTAACTGCAGCTTGTGGGGTAAAAAAAAAAGAAGAAGAAGAAGAAGCTGCAATTTACTTGTCAAAATAAATGTGGGGACATCAGCACCATTTGTTTGATTGTGCATGAGTTTATGAATCCACTCGTTGTGTTCACCTGTGAGTGTCTGCGTGCCTGCTGCATTTCCTTACCATCACGTGTGACTGTGTGCGTGAGAGAGCCTTGACATTAAAACTGGAAGACAGCATTTTTTTTTTTTTTTCTCACTAACCTTCAGTGCTCTGTGTGTACACCAAGGGCGTGACCTGCAGTGGCCCAGCTGACTCAGCCAAGTGGCATTCCTGGATAGGTGGAAGCGCATCGGCCCTGGTTCACCAACAACAGAGGCGATGGCAGGTGAGAGAGCACAAAACAGAGCAGAGCTTAGAATAAAAACACGGGCGGCGAGTATCAATGACTTACACCAGGCATAAATCATTTCAATGAGGGGAGGTGCCTCACTGTCTTCCCCCTGCTCTCTCTTTGTCTATCTCACGCACACACGCACACACGTAAACATTAACTTCAAAACAAGTTGATACATATGTATGCACGTGCACACACACTTGCAGATGAACATAGTACACTCCCTCTCTCTCTCTCTCTCTCTCTCTCTCTCTCTCTCTCTCGCACACACACACACGCACACGCACACACACACACACCCATACACTTCATAGATATGTATAACACCCTCCCTCCACTCCTGGCTGCACGCTCCACCCTCAGTCCTAGAGGACAGGCTGGTTGACCCAGGAGGAGGGGATAGTGGGGGAGGGAGGTGGGGGGAGAGGTAAGAGCAGACGAAGCTCAAATTCATTTCTGCTGGTGGTGCTGGGGGCACAGCACATTGCAAGAGCCTAACGTGACGCAGAAGGAGCCGGGACACACATGGCTATCAAATGGATTACTCTGACATACACTTTCTGAACTACAACACAGCAAGGACAATACAGTCAGCAGACACACAGAGGACTTACACAGACCTCGCACAACTTCTTTGACATATTGACCAAAAGAGGAAAACAAAAGGTACCTGGCTTTGATGAGGACTCATTGATTCCCCCCCCCCCCCTGCCTAATTCATTCAGGAGCCAGCTGATATCACACTGAGCACAGGGACTTGGAGTCACAGCGCTGAAGATGTGAATATTTTGGGTAAAAATCTTCACAGCTTCTTGTCACACAGCTGCACCACTGAACTGGATCATATGTGAGTAAGTGCCTTTTATTTACTCCGTGCTGATTGTATAATAGGATGACAAATACTGATTGTGATATTTACACGGTGACTAATACAAATACTTCTAACTGTGTTTCTCCTCTAATCCCTGAAAACACTTTGCCTGGGGGTCTGTGGAAACTCAGACCTGTTCACATTGTCTGTCAATGCATGTGTTTAGTGACCGATCTAGGTCATCTCTCTGTGCATCTCCAATATCTCATGTTCTCACGAGAAACAAATATGCTTCTCACATTCTGTATTTAGCATTTTATTAGTTATTATGCCTTTTTAAAAAAAATTTATTAATTCTTTGTAATTAATGAGTCATCATCATTATCATTGATTTTACTCTATAATTTAATTATGATTTAATTTAATTATAATAATAACTTTTATGACTTTTATAACAATAATATATTTTGTAATATAATAAAGATAACAGTAGGTTGTCAAAAAGAAACATCAAAAAACAAAACAAACTTTTATTTTATTTTAATTAAAAGAAAAGAAAATCTGTGTCATTTAATCATTAATAATGGGGGGGGGGAGGGTGGGGGGGAGGGGGGGGGAAAATCCGTTTTAGAAATGGTAAACCTGTTTTGGAAAGTGTAACTATGACTATAAGTAAATTAATGTGTTGACTATGAATTGAATATATTAATGCAAACTGATGTCACATTTACATTATATACGATCTTTACATACAAATACATTATCATCTGTGTAGTTCCAGTGATTCAGTTGATTTTCCGAGTGAAAAACATAAAGTCTTAGATGAAGTAAAAATAGTCACAGCATGTGTTTACCATGGCTGTCAGTCCTGATTTGAACATATGTAATATATGTTAACACATACAGTGTGTTGCGCTGAGCTTGATTGGAAATAATTTATGGCAGACCCTAACTGAAAATGCATGAGGTCCTCTAAGTTTTTCCGTGGATTAAAAAAAGCTCGAGGGAGCAGTCAGGTTGTTAACGTGAGCTGCTCCAGCATGTAATGTTAATGGACAGTGTTGGTGACAGCTCTTAATGCTTTGTCCCGAGACGGGAGCGAAACACACCAAGACATAAGGATACGCGTGAGAAAGCTTACCATGCACTGAAAACAAGGTGAGCGCAGACAGGAGCATACAGTTTATGCTCACCTTGGGGTGCTTTTCTTTTATGTGCATGTGTGTGTTTGTGTGTCTGTGTCTTGGTGCATGTGTGTGTGTGTGTGTGTGTGTGTCCTGCCCGTATTTTAAAAAGCAAATCAAAGGTCTTTAGATGATTAAAAATAAGTTTTGTGATCCCAGAGCGGCTGCGTGTTTGTGGTACACACAAGTCTGTATCGTCAGAGTTCTCTGACATTTAAAAGATTTGTATGGCATAACAACTCATTATTCAATATATAGCATATTGGAAATAAGAAATAGTTGCTTAACAGTGAAGCAGTGGTCGTGGAAAAGTCACAGAAGTGTATCTCCCAGCAGTTTGTCCTGTCAGTTTCTGCTGTGGAATAACAATTAAATAATCCTTCGAGGTGGACAGTTGAATCAACAAATCACCGTTTGGCAGAATCATTTTTTTTGTGATTGAGAGCACAAAGCTGTCTGTATCAACCAAAGTGCTTTAAAGGGCTTTTTCCATTAATCATAAGCTTTCCTTCTTTTTGTGTGTGTGGGTGTTTGGCACGATCTATAATATGCTCAAAATGACTTCCTTGATTGTAGCAACCATCAGGAAAAATCATCATCATCATCATCATCATTACTATTATTTTCATGGTCAATTTAATCCGGTCTCTAACAGGGAATCATTTCATCGTGTTCATTTCATCATGTGGCACAGATCTGACCATATCAGCTACAAAACTTCCAGGCCTGTTTAAGCTGGTGTGGTAACACTGTGGCCCAGTTTCCAATATTCAGGGGGAATACTCTGAATATTATATCAGTTGTGTGACGTGAAGAAGGCCCTGTTTTGTTTAGGGCACATGCTTGTTGGCAGTGTGCTGGTTAATGATACATAACAAGAAAAACAGTGGTCTCAGGAACGGGCTTTATCAGTGCTGATAAGGGGACTTGGACCTTCTTCCACACCAGACCCAGTGAGTTCTGTCCACTGGCTGATGTATTATAGATACTTTATTTATCCCCTAGGGGAAATAAACTAGCGATATTTGTGAATTCAAAATTCAATGAGTCGGGAGCGCACACAGCTGAGATGTGGGGCAAGTACTGACTGTATGAGTGTGTGCAATGAGGTGTGGTCCCACATGATTAACATTTAATGGGTTGTTTGGGCAAGACAGTAAAAAGAACAAAGTGTTTAGTTTTATTGCCCACATGGGCTGCAGTCTGTGGCGAAGAAGCTGAGTGACACACACTGAAAGAGAGGAATAAATCACGCTGTGAATCTGATTTTTAATGAGTACGGCAGGCAGGTGCCTCCACAAATTGAAATGCATAAATATATATGAAGTATCCACCTGTCACTGAGCCGATTCATTCAGAGGGTGAATTTATACCGCATGCGAGAGCGCCAATGGGGATCTAATTTACTGATATGTGGGCCTTAAAGAGGAGAGTGTGGTCATAGCTGCTTTATCATGCAGATGAATTGCAGCACATCCCAGCATGTACCACCACATGACTCACTCAAACCTTTACTGTGTGAGAATCTATTGATTGGTATGCATATCAAGTGTCTTGCCATGGAGAGAAAAGCAGTGCAGAATACCAACGCCTTAGTAAATCACATGGTGTGGATCTAGTGTTTGATTCCTATATTTATTTTCATTCATCTTAGATTCAACTGGGCCAGACCATTTTAATCCTGTTTCCTGCTGCCAAGGTCTATTAACGAGCCTGCTTATCCAAATCTAAATAAATGATAAGCATATCAGAAACTGTGTGCCGTGCGGTTTTGATCCTTAATGACAGGGGGTGGAGGATTGGTAAGGATAGACTGAGAGAGGAGGAGTGGGTGGATGAATGTGAAGATTTAGAGATAATAGCAGGTGGGGGATAAAAAATAGATAAGAGGAAGAAGAGCACATGAGAGGGAGTAATTAGCAACAGGTTGTCTGAGTGTACACAGGGCTGCTAATGAGGACAGAGAGGTCCTCATTCATCAGCCTGGGTCAAACCTGGTCAAAGGGAACTAATCACTGACACACACAGGCACACGCAGGACAGACACGGAGGTGACGGGTCACTCATTATGTTTGGATTATTGTACCGAGTGCATAATCACCTGTTTTCTCTGTCACTGCTGCCACCACCATTTCACGTTAATGACTGATCCACATTAAATATGCCAGCTGGGTTTATTCACTGTGGGTGTCTTAACATGCAAATATGATCCTCTGTGCATGAAAAGTGAGAGAAATTTGTTTCCCTGCCACACAAGAGATGGGAAGACAGAGCTATGGATGGATAAAGTTTTTACTTCAGAACACAGGACAGGACAAGCTCAGTGTCCATGTTATGTATTGTTTTTCACTTTATTGTGAGAGTTGTTTCTTATTTGACCATGAGAGGAAACTTACCTTAAAAGGACCAGAGCAACGGTTCTGCATGTTTCCGCCCGTTTATTACAACTCACCTTTTTTCAAACATTTCGTCTACTATTCATTTCCACAAAATGTTAAACTCCATTAGCAAACTCTAGAAACTGAGTTATGTAAAACATCCACAAACATCTAGAAGACGTCTGCATTGAAGACATGACTGAGAGGTGAAGACTTCCAGTCAACCTGTGATAACAATGTAACACCAACAGCAATTAATGTAGACTTGATAATCATTGAGACAGGTTATATCATTTTTCATTTTGATACCACACCGGACCAAACGGTATAGCCCGCATTTGCGAAAGGATCAGCAAAAAGGCTAAAGTGCTAAAACCTGGTAGAACACACCCTTTTTTTTTTTTGTTGCACAGACCAACATTTTAGTTCAAAATAGTTTAGTTCAGCTAAATCTATCCACAACATTTTCCAGCTGATGGACAAGTCTCTGAGTCCCATTCACAGAGTTTGTGATCACATCACAACCACATTACACGCTAAACCTGGATTACTTGACACATGACAAAATTGCACATGACGTAGCTTGTCAAAGTTAATGATCAAAACATGACGAGCTAAGAGGACTGACATGTTGAAAGACGTGAATGGCTGGAAGCTATGATGTTTTCTAGCACACTTTAACTACCTGTTTCTGTCATCCCTGAGGCTCTGTAGCCCTGAGTGTGGGGAAAGCCGTGCAGGATGTAGAGGACATGGAAATGGATGGTTGCACACCAGTTTGCCTCTGGAGAGGAAAGCAAGGGAGGGATCGACTCCATCATTAATCAGAGTGAAAGCTTTAAAGTAAAGACAGGAGGCAACATACTGCACTAACTACTAAAAGCAGTCTCTACAGTCCATCCAGCACAGAGACGGAATAATTTGTGCTTTACATTAAGTCGATCAGACAGATGGGACTGCTGTGCTGTGCTTGTGTTATTAAGGAGAGAGCACAGCAGAATACATTTTTCAGACACAGGGTACATAAATGGATACATTAAACCGCATTCAGCACCGTTCTGGAGACAACATTTACCTTCTCTATGTACCTTCAGTTTAAGGAATTTCCTCTGAGGTCAGGAAGCGTCATTGCCAGAAGTTTTGCGCTATCCGTGGGTCTCCTGTAGTCGAGCCATTGAGCAATTTGAAGACAATCCATCTTGATTTCTTGGATGCACAAACCATGCAAATGAGACATGAGCATATTTGGAAAAAATACTTTGTGTCCTTCAGGAATTCAGGGAAACAGGGGCTAATTCAGAGCAAGACTCAGAGATGGCAAGAACAGTCCTTCCGTATATCTGTTCAGGAGGAAATGCCTCACACACTTCCCCGTATACTATGAGCAACAGATAAGTCTTGACACCATTACAGAAGCTTCTTCCTACCGATCATTAATCCTCTTATTACATTTTACTGAATACAATTTGGGAACATTACTGTTATACTGTGGATTAATTTCTGAAGCTACACCGGTATTATAGCACATCCCTAAGTCATTATGTTTTATGTGCACAGAGGCACTGGCTACTTGAAAAGGGGATTTCACATCAGAAATTAGTCACATGGGCAAATATACATAATGAGATTATATAGTGGGTATAAAGGACCGCGCAGCACAAAGAATCCTCTCATGAATTGTGCTGTAATTACAGAGAGGGGCACAGGGCTCCTAAGGTCTCGACAAAGAGAGGCCAGAAGATTCCTTGGTGGAAAAAGACCCCGTTGTCTAAACCCCTAATTAAAAAAACATGAAAAAGAAAAAATAATAAACAGATAATAAAAATGAATATTATTAGCTTTGATCAAAAGACCTTCGGACAGGGCCGAATATTTGAGCAGAATTCTAAAAACTCACGTAACCAATGCAGACATAGAGGAGGAAAAAAAATAAATAAATGTTTGATTTGGTTTAGCCATTTAAGGCAGTGTTGTGGTCGCCTGGTGTGGCAGCAGGGATTCACTCAGACAAAAAAAAAAAGAGTATTTGACTGACCTCACAGCAATGGTTGTGCTCAGAATCTCTTCCTTTCATCTACTGCTATACCTTCATGTTGGGTGCAGCGGTCCAGCTGGCCTGGCTTGTCATGCATTCATCTGAATACATTCCTCTGGCAAAGCCAGCATGTAACGCCTGACAATGTGTTCAGCTGTGTTATCTCACACGCCCAGCAGTGAGTGCGTTATTATTCGCAAATTGACCATTAGGTCTCAACAGAGTAGTGAGAACAACCTTGTAATGTCTGGTTAGTCACACTCAATCGCACAATACTATCACTATGGTTTTCCTCCTATTCTTAGACGTGGAAAATTTCTAAGCACCCATTCATTGTATGCTTAACCACTCCTTTCACATTAGTCAAAATAATGTGTAGTATGGTGTCAGTCACCACACACTCTAACGCTAACTAACAGCATATAGGCCTCTTTAGAGCTTTAGTCGGCCAACTCCTTTCTCTATATCTTTTCATCCTCTTTCCACAGCTCTTTTACCTTTTCTCGCTGTTTTTATTTCTTAAGCGGCCTTTTCTCCGCACCGCCTTCATTTCTGCTCCTTCATCTTCCTCCATTTTTCCTCCCAGACTTTCTTCTCCGTGCAGTTTATTTGACCAAGTCGGCCTCCAGCATCCCACGACTCTGCTTCTTAAACTGTCATCTTATTCCTATCAACTTTCTGTTCTTTTGAGCCATTTATTTATAAGCAAAGAAAAATAAACGTAAAATTTATTGAGATCAACAGAGAGTGTGACTGGGAGAAAAGAAAAGAAAAAGAATGCCTGGATGCATGAGAGAAAGATGAAGGAGGGGGAGGAACAAAAACAGGGGGAAAACTGGAATGTATGGGGGTAAGCCTGGGATGAGAGCGATTATGAGAGCGGAGGTGAAGGAATAAGAGTGGTGGGATAGGGAGGGAAAGCTGTCAAATCAACCTTGAGAAAATATGGCAAAGAAAATAAACCACGCCAGGCTTGCGTCAAACACAACTGGAAGCACTGAGAGATGGACAAACACACACTGAAGACTTAATAAAAAATTGGAGACAGCACCGAAAACACAACAACATTCACATGATGATTGCTACAGTATCTGGCTTTCATTACTTTCAGTCAAATTTCAAGAAATTGCATAAAAGAAGCTATTTATAATATATGATGTGAAACATGTAGCATCATCATGGATCTTAAATAAAAGGCCTGAGTGTTTTGGTTTGTATTCTCAGCGGTGAGATAAGGAAAACGCTAAGTAACAAATTACTCAGCTGACAAATGTGAGGGCAACTGGAGGAGATTTAATAAACGGATACTGATATTGTGATAATTCAGAACAAGTAAATTGTTTGTTGATAAATCTGTACTCGGTAGAATCCGAGCACAGACAGTCTTATGACCCTGCACCAGTGATCATTTTGCGTAGGGCATCATCTAAACAAATCACAAACAACAACATATTACAGTGGCTTTCCCGCATTAACACTTTGTTTTTCTTTCAGGAATGGAAAGCATCAGTGTGGAAACGGACTGGGACGGGTTAGCCCTCTCCTCTCTGGTCGCCACCGGAAGGAACAACTTCTCTTCCTCGTCCTTGTTTGTCTCGGAGCTGAACTCGTTCAACACTTCTCACAGCGGGGGATCCTTCTTTGGGATCTTCCCTGAGAACGGCTCCGCCACCACTCCTCACACCCTGCCCCAGCCCAGGGCCAGGGACCTGAGCCTGGCCAGGGCGGAGATTGCGGTGCTCGGGCTGGTGCTGGCTCTTACCACCCTGGGGAACAGCTTTGTGTTGTGGGTGCTGCTGAGGAGGAGGAAGCACAATGCGCCCATGCATGTGTTCATGGTCAACCTGTGTGTGGCTGATCTGGTGGTGGCCCTCTTTCAGGTCAGTTCACAAGTTTCTTTAAAGCATTAATGCAACATGAAGAATATCGGTTCAAACATTTAAATCACCTTTACTTTTATCTAAATGTCTTCTTCTTTTTTTTTTTTTTCAAATCTGTGTGTTCAGGTTCTTCCTCAGCTAATATGGGACATAACGGAGAGGTTTCAGGGGCCCGACTTGCTCTGCCGGTCCATCAAGTACTTGCAGATTGTGGGCATGTTTGCGTCCTCCTACATGATAGTTGCCATGACAGTGGACCGGCACCATGCCATCTGCTGCCCGTTGCAGGCCTACCGTGGGGGAGCAGTGTCCCGCTGGAACACCCCTGTCATGGTGGCCTGGGCCCTGGCACTAATCCTCAGCATACCGCAGGTAAGGAGGGGTGAACACATGGGGAAACAAAACCTGTCACACACACACACACACACACACACACACACACACACACAAAAACACATGGTGAAATAGGAAATGGGAGCTCAGTGGGCGTTCACACCCGGATTGCTACAGTAGAACTCAAGATGTTGTCTATTTTTAGCTCTATGAGGTCACTAAAGTTCAGCTAATGGAAGAGGAAACTGACAGTCATGTCTGTGAGTGTGCTGACCCCGCCCCTCCCCTCCTCCCCGCCTTTTGTTCGGTCTGTCAGGTGTTCATCTTCTCCCGCTCAGAAGTGGCTCCTGGAGAGTTCGAGTGCTGGGGTCACTTTGCTGAGCCATGGGGGCTGAAGGCCTACGTCACCTGGATGACTGTGGCTGTCTTCCTCCTGCCCGCGCTCATCATAACCATCTGTCAGGTAATTCTGGTTGTACTAGCCGGACTCTCCCATCTCTGCACCATCCACAAAGACCATTGACTAGGATTACATACTGCTGATAACATTATCCAATAATGAAGCGTGTGGCATGAATGAAATGCTGTTTTGTTTTCATGGAGGGTGCATTTGGCAGGCATTGTTCGATAACCCATGGGGGACTGTGGTCGGTGTTATGTAGCATCCCATGGTGGATAGGCATTCTGGGCCGCCTCCCATCAGCCCTGCTGCTCTATTTAGGGAAAGATATTTCCAGGGTCCAGCTATTTCCCCTAATTAACGCAGCACTTGGAAGACCACTGCTGAGACGGGTGTTCGGAAAATCTGCCCACTCTGAGAACCTCCTGCCAGGAAGTGGAATGTACCAGATCTGTGCCAAACATAGAATCCTTGACCCTTTTTCATTGTCGCATTTCAAATGGAGAGGGTTGCCACTTTAGACACTTTTTCAGAGGTATGATGTGAAATCTGCATAGGGAATAATTTAGAAAGCTTCAACTGACTCAAGTGATGAAATAGCATGCACTTGGAGGAGAGTGCAGTGGCTAATCAAATTGTACTGTATTAAAGCTGTTCTGAAAGGTAAAAGGTGGCAGAAGAACAACGGTTGGCAGTAACAATCCTTAAATTCAGTCAAAATAGCTACGAGTGTGAATCGCCTACTATTATTTGATTTCAAATTATTGTTTAAGTTGCTCTGGAGACCATGAAGAATTATTTTGCCGCAGTAAAATTTTACAGAGTGGAGGAATAGTTGTATTTGATAGTGTTGCATAAAAAAGTCTGACACTGATTAATGGCTGTTGGTGAAGGCCAGCACACTCTCTTTCATATCAGATTTCCTGTCACTGCTAGAGATGCAAAAAAGATTGTGCAAGAGCAAAGACAAGCCTCTGAATCTGGCACGTGACAGTCATAAAAATGAATCCTCAGGTCTCAGTCTTTGAATGATGCCTTGTTTCACCCATATTTACCTCTGCTAATTCGTGATGATATTCCTGTTCTGCAGATAAGAATCTTCCGAGAGATTCACAATAACATCTACCTGAAGTCAGAGAGGGTGGTGATGGCTGAGCTGAAGAAGAATGAAATCTTCTTCCGCTTCCACAGCTTTAAGAAGGAGGATGAGCGGGCCAGGGAGAGGGCGGGGCGGGCGTCCGGAGGTGGGGGCAGGGAGGCGAAAGGAGGACAGCACTTAAAGGCCACGAGTAATGGCCCTCACAATAACATTCACAATAGCCAAGTGGGAGAGTGTTACGACTATGTACCATCATCTGCTATTCAGTATAACAGTTGCCGTGGTGAACATGTGACAACAACAACAACAACAACAACAGCAGCAGCAGCATCAGCAGCAGCATCGCCAACGCAGCAGCAAACAGTGAACTGCTCCGATTGCCAGGAGTCCTACACGTCCTACGAGCTGACCACAGGCTCACCCCGCTGCTCCCTGGACTACGCCCCCCCCCTCCCTCCTGCTGCTCCCCCTCCAAGCATCACTAAAGCCATGTCCAAAACAGTGAGAATGACTCTGGTGATTGTGCTGGTCTACACTATCTGCTGGTCACCGTTCTTCATCGTCCAGCTGTGGGCAGCCTGGGACCCCAACCCCCCAGACCAAGGTCAGTCACAAACATGCTTTATGGGTGTCGTTTATCCATGTCACCAGCCTGATTTCAAAGAGTTTTGGTCCCATCATTGCTACATTCCCAATGCATGCAATTCACCCTCAAAAAACAAAACAACAAAAACAGACATCTGCGTTATAACCACTCCAAATGAATCATTTAAGTTGTTCTTCTCAGATGGATTGATCCTCTTTAGCCCAGTTTATCCATTTAATTGCTCTAAATGTGCAAGCCTTATCTGCTTTGCCCTGTAGGCAGCCACAAACAAAAGCTAAATGGCTGGGTCTGGTTTATAACAACAACCTCTGATCAGTGCTGTTGTCCATCTCAGTGAGTCTAAATACATTCATTATTCTACAAGGACAAGCTCCAGCTCAGATGTGGAAACAGTGAGTGAACAAGAATATTGTTTGTTTTAACTCACACTTCGGACCCCC